CCGCGGACTGCCCACCAGTCCCGCGGTGGCGGGCGGAAGGCGCGGCCCCACCGGGGCAGGCCCGGGCCGGCGGAGCCCGCCCCGCCCCACGGCCAGCCGGTGCGGCACCCACCGCCGCTTTCGCTTTCCCTTCTGCCTCGCCGGAGACCAGCGTCAAGGCAAGCCCCGGTCCCGGCCCCTTCCCCAGCCGCCTGCCCCTCCGCGTCGCGCCGGCCGCCCTCCCCGCTCGCCTCAGAGAGCCCACTCGGCTCTCCGGCGCCCCCGGCCCAGCCCGGCCTGCCGCCTTCCCGCCTCCCGCCCTCCCCTCAGCCGGCCGCCGCCTTCCCGCTCACCCGCGCCTTCTCCTCTCCAGTCCCCTCTGTTCCCAGCCTGTCCCCTCTGGCCGGCAGCCCCGGGGCCCGGCCCGCTGCTCGCTACTCTCATCTGACGCCCGGGGTGGAAGAAAGCGGCTTTGCCTCAGCGCTGGAGGCTTGGGCCCTTCAGGTGGCTGCAGTGGCTGCACGACCGTTTCCTGAGAGCGGGCAGAAGTGCTGGCAGCGGGACCTGGCGTGTGCGCAGCTGGTAGCGCTGGCGGCGCCGCTTTCCTCCACCTTGCTCGGTGTGGGGCTGCTTCCCTGGGGCGGGGGCCCACCTGCGGCCTGCGCGCTCGTCGATTCTTATTTTTTTCAAAAGATGATTAAAAAATGTATTTGTGTGTCAAAGCCAAATCTAGACCCCAGCTGTCGGGAGCTGCTGTTACTCTCAGGGAGCTCAAAAACCTCAGTCAGCGTCGCAGACCCCGGCTGGGGTGGTGGTGGCAACCTCTGAACTGCCACAAGGTCAACAGGGTGGTTTTCAAGTTAGATATAAACATGTACTCTTCTGAGTAAATGTGTTATAAAAGCAAGTTTAATCTGCCTAAATATGGGGAAAGGGCAGGAATCGCTGCTGCTTTTCCTTATAAAAACCCGGAGCCGGAGTTGGACAAGGTGGCTCAGCGCATCCTGCTGTCAGTGAAGGGCATCCCACGCTGCCTTCTCCGCTGCTCTCCTTGCCCTGCGCTGAGCTGGCGCACATCATTGTGCTATCAGAAAAATTACTTCTTTCTTGTAGTTTTCTGCCAGCTTAATGATCTTAATAAACTTCCTGAGTGGGCAACTCAGTACATGGAAGAAGAAGAGAGAGAGACCGTTTTTTACCAGGAAAAAGTCATTAGATCAACTCAGCCTTGTTGTCTAGCGGTGCCCTGTGTCGCTTTTCAGATGAGTGAAGACGTTCCAAGCTTACAGTGGAATAACAAAGGAAAAATATTGGCTGAAATACAGCAATTAGTGTAAGAGGCTGCTTTATGTAATGAAAATACCTTTTAATTTCCAAGAAACACTTCACAACTGTTTTTTCCCCTAACAACTGTACACATGTATTAATTAATCATGAGAAGAATATAAAATTCATATTAAGTGTTGATATAGACAAAACGGAAAAATGGGAACCGGAGATCCCATCTGTGGAAGATAATACAGGGTATTTTCTCTTATGCGCATTTGACTGTGTATATGCAAATGAAAACACAGGAGCTCTCTGGGTGTCTTGGTACTGGGTAGGATTGCAGTTACAAGTATTTTTATGTGAGTTGTTCTTGCTTTTTTCTCAACATACTTCTTTCTAGACGATGGAAAATTTTCTGGGAATTAGTTGTAAGATCTTTCACCATAAAATGATTTTTACTTTTGTTCTTACCTACATTTTTGAGAGTGGTAGTAGACAAGTCACTTTTGGTAACTGCCACAAGGTGATACATAGGGCTGAGCATGTGCAACGTCATGTTAATTCAGGGCCAGAAATCTATAGCCACTCTTACTTGATGAAGTATTATACAGTATAACTGACTAACAGCTCACATGTTTAACAGCTTTAACGGTTTGGTTTATAGAAGTATTTCTAAAATGATAGTGTTCATTGGGGGACACTTAAATTCTTGTACTTTTATTTGTAGATGTCAGGAGATCAGCACGTTGATCACTCTACTCAAGAGAGAGGTGATGAAGATCACGGTGATGTATGTGATGCAAAGCCAGACAGAAGTACCAGATTCTCGCTTTTTGGAAAGTAAGTTACTACTTTTATTCCTGTTATTGTTGTATCAGCTGTCATACTACCCTTCTAATGGGATTTTGGTGTTCAATTTGCCATGTCCACAATGTCATAGACGGTCTGGATACGGAGATGGTTTTTGTTGTATAGGTTTAATGTATCTGGTCTGTACCTTAAAGCATCACTCTATAGTATCTCCCTATAGGGAGACCTATAGTATCTTCCATAAGATTTATTTGGTAGTCAAGAGACCACTAAGTTCATTTAGCATCAATTATAGTCCCTCATCTTAAACATTGCCCTTTGGTGGAGCTGGGAATTAAATATACCATTAATTATCAGTTTTACTGCATTCAGCCCAGCTAATCTCCTGCATCACTGAAATCCCCTGCTGACTATTTAAGTTAGTTTAAAGCCTGGATGTGCCATCTAGGTTGTAGCACAAAGAAGCCTCACTGAGTCTAGAGACGTAACCCATTACAGAATAAATTAAAAGCCTTTCATTTTAAAACATAGTAGTCTCACTGAAGCATAAGCTTACTTTCATTAAGTGTATGGGAAGCAAGAACTATGTACTGCTTGTCTGTACTCCTAAAAACACTAGATAAATGTGACTGAAAATGCAAAAGATGAAAAATGAACATGCAAAATTTGCAAATACTATTGAATGTCAGCAAATGGCTACTTCACATTGTGAACTTCATGGATTTCGAGAGTTTATTAGAGGTGTTTATTACAAAGACTATTGTATTTACAGAGAGGTTTTGATTTTTTTTTTACTATTGGACATTCACATTCAAGTGAATAGTATAATTCAGAGAAAGTACATGGAGAATATAATTTTATTTCTGCTGCTTATTATGCGAGTCTAATGGGGGTAACAATTCTGTGAGAGAAGTGAAGATGCTTTAGTCCTAGAAGACTTTTGACATGCTGTTAAGCAAATCACTTTACTTTCTCTGTCTCATATCATTCCTCAAATATGTTTTATGATGTGTATGTGTATTATTAATTTTAACAGAATCACATCATGCAAAATAGACAATGTAACATTTGTTTGTAAATCTTGCCAAATATTTTTCAAAGGTTTCTTTTAAACTTTATGTGTGTTTTAATATCTGAATTGCTCGTCTTCATAAGAGGTGATATGCTAATACTATTATTAAATTATGCAACTCAAAGTTAATCGTTCCTGAAGGAAAGGCAATAATCAGCATTTCTATCACTTTTTTTCTATAAGAAATTTTTCCAGTAGTTTGACTATGCATCAGTTTGAGGCATTCATCTTTCGCAAACTCCGTGAAGAAACAACTTGAAACATTTTTCTTTAGAAGTAAAAAATTCCTCAGATTAAATATGAGGTAATTGAGCAGATTCAGCTTAGATTTTGTAGAAAAATATAAGTCTGAGAAATCTATCAGAGTTTCTTGAAGAAGGTGATGATTGCCTAAAGAGGAATGAGTGGGTTGACAGCGAAGGTCTTAAAAATCCAAGCACAGTGGCAAGGTCTTTCTTTGTCTTATAGAAACTAAAACTCTTTTGCCTGAAGGAAGACAGGAGAGGAATGTGAGAGGATAGAGGAAAATGGGATATGATCTAAAATCGTGACTGTAATGGAGGAGAAAGTAAATAGACAATGATCGTTCTTTGTGCCTCACAGGAAATCTAGGGGACATCCAATGAAAAGTTCATGCAGTAGGTTTAAAATAACCGGTAAGATGTAATTTTCACAAAGTGCAGAATACAACTGTAGAACTTAAAGTCACAAGATATGCAGATGTCAAGATTTTAGATGAGTTCAGAAGAGATTAGATGTATTTGTGGAAGAAAAGTCCAGTGGGAATATTGATGTTAAAATCTTTGGTGCAAGATGTTCCTAAATCAGGTTTCTGTGAGAATATATTCTGTATCCAGTTTCTTTTGTTTCTCTCTCAAAACTCGTTACTAGTCAGTACCAGATACGAGGCTACATATACTTTTAGTTGGAACCAGCATGGCTCTGTGTCTTGATTGCCGAGGCTTCATTTTGGCAACATGAAATTTCATTTAGTACCTGTAAAATAAGATGACTAGAAAGCTTTAGATTGACTACAATTTTATTGTCCCTTGTTTTGTTTTAGCAACCCGGTTTTTACCAGCTGTGCAGTACTTTCAATGACATTCTACATTGTATTTCATTTATTATTGCTTAAAATATATAAGCTCAATAGGAAAACAAGTAACTTGTATTGTTAAATAAGCACATTAATTTTAATTTAAGAGAACAGAGAACAGTGAGAAACTGAATTCAGAGCCATGCAGAAAGACCAGCTGTTTCCAGTAGCTTCACAGCTCCAATTCACCATTCTCTGGCTGTGACTGGAGATTTAGGTAGCAAGAGCAGTAAGTAGAAGTAAGTGAAAATCTTATTCACTACAGGATATTTCTCTCCAAGAAGTCTGTGGGCCTGCTTTACCATTGAGGCCATGATGCTCAGAACAAGCCACAGAGTGGGCAGGTTCTTCTGGCTGCATCACAGTTCAGGGGAATTATCATCTACATATTTCCTTTTCTTTAAAAAAGTGCTAGTACTTAGTTGATGTTGGTGGGGAAAAACTGTTTGGTGGGGAAAAGAGTTGAAAAAAAATTAGGTTTTGAATCAACATCTGCCGGTCGTGTTTGGTTTAGAGGTTTTTTAGCCACTAGATGGCAGGAGGGTATAAATTTTGTTTACTGCAAAAATGTGGACAAAAATTAGGGAGCGTTGCAGTTGAGCAAAAAGTTGTTTCAGAAAGCAAAAATAGCAGGATACACTCTGGCAAGCCTGTGTACAACAAATTCTAAACCATGGTTAAACAAAGATTGAGGTGAGGATTTCAAACATGTATTTTAATTCTTTTTGTGATAGCTAGAAACTAATAGAATTTTTCTATAGAAATTTTTCTTTTCTATGCTATATGTGCTCCTGTTACACTTTCGAGGCTTTAAAAATAGTCTCACTTCTCCACAGGATGATTTACTATCTTCATTTGGCACCTTTTGTCTTTTATTGGGGAACTCTGTTAAGGAGATTGGTAGCAGCAAACCCACTTTGGCATCCAGGAAATATAACGTAACATGAAAAAGAATAAAATTGTGGTTCCACTGTATTAAGTAGAGCTAAGATTTCCCTTACTCCTAATGAAAGTTGTTTTTTTTTTTAAAAAGCTGCATCTGAAAATTCCCAAGGCTTGGTAGACTCGCACTTGTGCTCTCAATAATCATGACTGTTTGTGGGCTTCAGTGAAGAAGCATAATGCAGAGGAGGGCGGTTGTTAGTAGTGTCTAGGTACAAGCTTTATTCTGATTTAATTGTATAGAACCACTTGTCCCCTTGTTACTTTTATCTACTCCAGTCCTACGCTCTTGTTTTACAGCCAATATTCCCCTTCTCATCTGGAAACAGAAAAAGTAATTTAAATATATATTTAAGAACTCTTACAAATACCTAGTTACGATTGAAACAGTGTGATTCTGTAGTGCCCTTAATACAGAAACATGAAATACATTGTAAGAAAACCCCACTGAGGAATTTGAGAGGCTTGTAGGGTACACTGACACATAGCCACCAAGAGTACTTCAGCTGTTCAACACTGCAAACCCAAAATATCCGTAAAGTATTTATTTCTGCCAAGTCAGGCCACTATAAAGTTTGAGACTTTTCCTTTTAATTAATTTGAAAGTTTGCTGGAAACATCAGTGTGTATCTTGCCTTCTGTAGTTCAATAGTTATGATACTTATATAGTTACAATATCAACCAGGTTTGTAAACTAGTATTTAAGTCAAAAAGATTCATGGATATACAGGTTTTCATTTGTACAGTGTTTTTTTGGGTTACAGGGCATCAAAGTGGGGAAGCACAGATGTTACCAAAGCTGTCTATTTTAACTTCATGACCCTTGTCTCAGTATAGCCATATTTTTCAAAATAAATAGCTTTGTCCTTCAAGGAATAAGTATTTTGAGACTAAGCCTCAGGTGAACCTCAGCTTTGGAGCTGTAACAGGTGTGGGAAGTTGTCTTTGTTTCAGCTTTGCTCTTCTGTTGTTCTTCCATCTTTTGGGGAGCTATTTTCCATCTGCTTTTGATTACCAACAGCTTATTTTTATTTGGTTTGTAAGAAGCTGCTTTGCAGGTAGAACTTTATGAAGAACAGTTTCACAGTGATGCAGATGCATATGTTTTCCAGAGTTGCACATTTTGTATTTTTTGGGCCATTTGAAAACACGGGGCCTGATCTTATAAATTAATTGCTTGCTTTGTCGAAAATTGCTACTGCTAGCACCATATGCTTATGAAGAAATTGTATTGACCTCTACTGCATGAATGTGAGCTGTTCCTGCCTTGAAATTAATGTGTTCAAATCCAGATGATGCCTTGAATGATACATCATCTTTTTTATCATAACTTCTACAGTTTTAAAATTAAAAATACAGTTCTGTTACAAGTTTTTCAGTGACAGACCTTTTGAAAATAAATATTGCTGAGAAAAGTATCTCTTTTATCCTTAGATAGAATAAAAATAGCAAGTTACTTTAAAACAAATAACAGCTGATGAATCATTATCTGAAGTTATGCTCTGGGCTGCAACTCAGAGGTCTGAACTGAACTGTTGGTTCAGCCTCACATTGCCTTTACGTCTCTAAGCAAATCACTGTGTGCCTTAGTCTATCCTGTAAATGGGTGATGATCTTTCCTTTTACTATCCTAACTCCAAAGTCTAGCACAATATAATTTAATTTTGTTTGGAGTTTGTGGGTTCAGCTTTGCACAAGCTAAATATCAGTGTATTTTCCCCCAAAGACCTGAACATAAAATTTCAGAAGCAATAGGTTCTGGCATCTATAGTCTGTTAAAGTTAATTCCTACAAAGACAATAAAGAGATTTAAAAATAGAGCAACAGGATGTTTCATTTTCATTACCCTCTTTTAAGCCAGAGGGGTTTTTTTAATTTTTTGTTATTACAGTTTTTGTTAGATCTGGAACTCAACTTCTG